AAGGTGTAACGTGTCAGTACCAAGCTGTAACGTGTCAGTACCAAGCTGTAACGTGTCAGGTGTAACGTGTCAGTACCAAGCTGTAACGTGTCAGGTGTAACGTGTCAGTACCAAGCTGTAACGTGTCAGCACCAAGCTGTAACGTGTCAGTACCAAGCTGTAATGTGTCAGGTGTAACATGTCAGGTGTAACGTGTCAGCGCCAAGCTGTAACGTGTCAGCGCCAAGCTGTAACGTGTCAGGTGTAACGTGTCAGTACCAAGCTGTAACGAGTCAGCACCGAGCTGTAACGTGTCAGGTGTAACGTGTCAGCGCCAAGCTGTAACGTGTCAGGTGTAACGTGTCAGTACCAAGCTGTAACGTGTCAGCACCGAGCTGTAACGTGTCAGGGTAACGTGTCAGTACCAAGCTGTAACGTGTCAGCACCGAGCTGTAACGTGTCAGGTGTAACGTGTCAGTACCAAGCTGTAACGTGTCAGCACCGAGCTGTAACGTGTCAGGTGTAACGTGTCAGCACCAAGCTGTAACATGTCAGCACCAAGCTAACAAGAGCCAAGAATCTTAAGTTTTAGGCAATAATTTTGGTGTGTACATTACAAATAGTCATGGGAATAAGAAATATGAATGTTTGGAACAGTACGGTTTGAAAGAGAGTGTAAATATGAAACAAAATTCGTCAAAAATATTCGCTTAACCTTCTACAGCAGGGGTCTCCAACTCCGGTCCTGGAGAGCTTCTATCCAGTAGGTTTTCTATCCTACTTGGCTTCTGATGAGCCACACCTGTTCCTCTGGGTTGCATTGTAATAAAACAGAAAAAAATGAGAGATTTGCAGAATGGACACCATTAGACTTAGAAGGGTGTAGTGTCTCAGTGGGCTGTAGCCTCATGCATCCAGGGTCAAATCCCACCTCCAGCTCTGGCTTTATGGTTTTTGCATGTGCTTCCCATGTTTGCATAGGCTTCACCCAGCATTCCAAGAATAGTTGTTTCTAAAGTGGCATGTGTGTGCTTGTGTGAATGTGTGCCCTGCAATCCACATGCATCCTGTTCAGTGTATTCCCTTGTCTTGTACCGTGTTATGGAGGATGGGTAGGTAACCAGCACCATGACAATGATTAGTAATTTGGGCTCGTCTGCTTCATTAACTTTTAAGCAGAAGCTAGTGTTATTCTTTATCAAAGGGGCAAGCTAAAATTGATTTGAATAAAATTCACTATCAGCCAAAGCTGTTGCACTGTAATGGGAGATCTGAGGACTGTTGATGCTTTATAAAGATCTGTGCTGCAAAATATACCTTTTGAACAGAAACCTCAGCATCGTGGTCTGACAATGGAAAATTCCAGTAGGCAATAATTAATTATTACAATTATATTTATGCTTGTAAGCAGATGCATGTCGTCTTTGGATGCACCACCGTATGTCTTTTCTCTTTCTGCATACTGTTTACCTGCCCCCCTCCCTTTCTCTGTCCGTCTTACCTTCCAGAGAATAGCAGTGCTGATCAGAAACAGGCCTGCAAGAAACATGAACTCTACGTCAGCTTCAGAGATCTGGGGTGGCAGGTATTTTACTCGCTCTCCCTGTTCCTCTTCCTGATCTTCCTTTCCTCATTCTGCTTCTCCCTTTCTCTCCCTGACCCTTCCATATCTCAGCCAACAGTTCTCACTCCCGAAATATATATGATTAATGCTCCAGTAAAATGATATCATAGCCAAAAGGTGCTGTGTTTAGGATGCATGTTTTTAATATACGCCTTCATAATGGACTGAAATGTCAATGCAAGCAACTGCATTAATATAATGCTTCTAAAGAATGAACACATATTCAATTGATTTATAAGTTCATTCATATGAGTCTGGAAGCAATAACTTGTGAAATTATGTTTCTGGAAGCTTATTTCAGCTGAGACAAGGTAATCTGTATTCGGATGGCATTCAGAGCGCAGGACTGAACAGCAGTGACACTTTGTGCTTCATAATAGACTTGGAATGGCTTTGAATGCACCTTGTCACATGGTGAAGGATCACAGTGGTGCCTTTAAATCTCAGGACTGGATTATTGCACCAGAGGGTTATGCCGCTTACTACTGCGAGGGGGAATGTGCCTTTCCTCTCAACTCCTACATGAATGCCACCAATCACGCCATTGTGCAGACACTGGTAAGGAACGGGAGATAATAGAAAGCCCTGCATGCTTTTAATCGCTCTGATTCTTTTTTCTTTATGAGAATTATATAACGTTGGTTATAAAAAGCTTCAACTGGATAATTCTTAGTCTTAGTACAGCTGACAAACATGATGGCAGGTAACAGTATTATGGAATTTCATGGCCCATTCGCTGTATTTTTAAATTAAACTGGTGATTTTAAGAGCAAGGCCATCAGTGCTGTTTGTTGTCTGTGAATACTGCTTCTGGGAGTAATGCGTAGCTATTAAAGAATGTATGGTTTTAACTCTAGCTGATTATATAGTATAATTTTCACAAATGGCATCAGTTGCAGTGTTTATATATAAAGTGAAATTCCTTAATATATCTCCTACAGACATACCCTGCACTTGCGCTAGTTATGCATTCAAATCTTTATTGAAGGAATTAAAAGCTTTTTGAAGGCTGCTTCTCTTGCTTGCCATAAGGTAAGTACCCGAAATACTGCGCTACAGTTTCATTATATTTTTTCCTCTCCTGCGTATTTCCGTTTTCAGGTCCACTTCATAAATCCGGAGACTGTACCCAAGCCTTGCTGTGCTCCTACCCAGCTCCACGCCATCTCTGTGCTCTACTTCGACGACAGCTCTAACGTCATCCTGAAGAAATACCGCAACATGGTGGTGCGAGCCTGCGGCTGCCATTGACCCGCTCCCCCCCCCCCCCCCCCACCCACAGAGCACACTTCTTGAGAAGGTTGGGCTGGCAGAGAGGTAAAGGAAACGGACGCCTTCACACACGCAAGTCTCGATGAGTCTCGTCTACCTGCCAGGCTGCCCAGCTAATCCGCCTCCCTTTTTGCTCTCACAAACCGGCACGGCCAAAAGAACATATTTCCATCCTATTTTTTTTATTTTTATTTTTTTTACATTTTCAACGAAGGTCCACCTATGGCTAGCAGAGATCATCGCATCCTGTCACCCCAAAGAGAAACTGGATTCATTTGGGCCAAAGGATGCTGACTGATATGCGCTGAAAGACCTGCACACTGAAGCCTTCTTAAGATGACGCTCAAGATGGAATTCACTCACACGCTACCCTGTGTGGATGCTATGGATGAATGTGCTACCTGCCTATCAGAAGACATACCTAGTGGGAGAGTCTGTGTGTCACCGCTACCTGCAGTGGTTCCACTCTAGCAAAACTGCTTGTTGATTGACACATCGCTGGAGGAGATGATCAGAATCAGAAACATACCGGAACTGTTTATGGTCGTGCCAAACACGAAGTAGAGGACATACAGGAGAAAACGGGATACACATCTCTTTATGTTGAATCTACTGTTTTTCCGTTTCATTTCTATTTCAGTCATCCAGCTAAAGTTTCCATCCTTAAAATACACACGAAAGTCTTTCACCCTCCTCCACTCCATACCTCCAGATATATTGAGACACAAACAGAAGTCATTCTCTTTCTCCCTGTGCTTTCTACTGTGTATGAAATGTTTAAAGACATGATTGTATAATGATAGACAGCGAAAAGTCTCTTGTTTTGGTCAGCATATTTCTGTTACCTTAGTGTGTTTTTTTCCTGATTTCAGTGACTAAAAGGCCAGGTGGAACTGTAGTTTAACCTCTTGTACAATATTTTGTAAATACTTCTTAAATACAGAGAAAATGTATTTATTTGCAGATCAAGACATGAAGGGGAAGTTAATATCATCGGCATTACACTTCGTACTGAAATGTTTGTTTTCCTGTGTTTTATTATTATTTTTTTAACATATCCAGTTCATTTAGTGCTGTTACACTTATTTAATCAAAATGGTTTATGCTTCCTAAGACAACGGCTAATAAAAAATAGTGTTGTAACATATTGTGTGTCATATACAGCTTACCATTTGGTGTCAGTTTGCATCCTGTGAGCATTTACCAAAAAAGAAAAGGAAAAACCATAAAAACCAATGGTTTTGTTATGGGTCTTGGTTTTAAAAACAGCAATAGTGTTGTGGGATTCTCTGTAACTTCCTTAAATATCAGATTATCCGAAGTTGCTCTGAAGTAGGAAGCTTGGGGTTGACTTTGAGGAAGTGAGGAAGTCTTGAGATTGTAATGACTAATAGCATTTCAGTATTCGCAAAAAAAAATATATATATATATATGTTTTCAGAATTAAAGAAAACTGGAAATGGAACAATTCAGATTTTTGTCAAAACCAGTAGTTTCCAATGTTTATGTCTGGTCATCAGGATTTTATTTTCGCTCTGCTGTAAAGATCTCACGTATCCTATTGAAGAGGAATATTTATTGAGACCATGTGATAAGTGTAACATTCCAAACGCTTGTACTTCCTTCAACATTTTAGTGCAAGAAGTACTTCAATAAATAAGGATGAAACATCCTGTTTTGTGGATTGATTTTATTCAACCTAATATTCCAATAATGATGCAGGTGTTTTTTATGTAACAGTTACCTCTCAACCTTGTATTGTGTCTATTTTTCCTGGTGGCAAAAAAAGTTTGTCTGGAGCGAACAGTACACACACACACACACACACACACACACACACACACACACACACACACGCACATGCACACATATGCATTCCTGTTTTTGTTGGGACGGTCCATTCATTTCTATGGGGAAAACTCTAATACCAACATGACAACGTTAACCCCTACCTAGCTCTAACCTTAACCATAAGTAACCAAATAAAATACAAGACTTTTGGCATTTTAATTTTTTTTTATTGCTTTCATAGAAAAAATTTTAGGTTATCTCTGTGGGGGCGAAAAAATTTGCAGGTTTTTATCGCATTGTGGGGAAGTCTGGTCCCCACAATGTAATAATTACAAGGCAACACACAAATAGGCACACATATGCAGGCACACACAAATAGGAGGTCCCCACATTGTAATATATACATAAGCCACACACAGATGTAGGAGAAGTAGGGGCTGATGTGCAGATTTTTAACTGCCTTTTATGGAAAGACATTGTGTGCTGCACTTTACATACCACTAAATTCTTGACAGCTTCTTGAGAGAAACACATGCTGGAGGAGGAGAAGGAAAAACAGGCAGACTAGGGTGAGAGTAGATAATCCCAGATTCCGTCCAGTTCCTTCTCATATACGATATCCAGACTCTAGTTCTACGGGCCAGATGTTTTGGGCACAGCAAGCTTACTTACGTCTCTGCCTTCTGTGTTTCGGGCTGAAACAAGAGGGTCAATGAAAACTAAGGAACAGTGGAGAAAGGAGGAGAGAGAGGGAGAGAGAAAGAATAATTAAGGAAATGGCTGAGGTATAGAAACTACGGGAAGATCTGAGCAGTGTTAATTTTGACAGCAGATTTCAATTTAGTTTTAGTCATAGTCTTTTGACTAAAATGCAATTTTAGTTTTAGTCATATTTTAGTCATCTGTTTTGTTTTAGTTTTAGTCTAGTTTTAGTCGACTAAAAA